ATTCATGTAATTTGGAAAATAATAAGGCATAATAAAGAAAACAATGGTAGTAATAAAATCATAAATTGGTTGATTAATCGCGTTATCCATTTTAACGACAGTTTGTTTGGCTAAGTTACGGCAATGCAACATTTGGGCGATCTGCCTAGAGGGGATGCCTTTCGGGAGGTTTTTTAAGGGTAACTGACTCTTATTCAAGCGTTACAGACGTGGAGAAAACCCGGAAAACCACGTGGCCAGCACGTCCGAGACGTAAACCCACGACCGAACTTCCAGTGTTCAGCGAACGGAACCGGTTGGCCACTAGTTGGTCTTATGACGACAGATTAGACAAATCTCCATGTATATCTGTATTCTGCATATTCAAAAATACAGTATACAGAACTTTCTCTTCAACAATTTCAGATTCTCAGAAAAACTATCAATATCCTTATATAATATATGTTTTAATTAAAATATTGCAGCATCTTTAGAATTGGTGTAATCAATATTATCGACGAATGAAACGCGCCATATTAAATGATTGGGGCAATAGTATTTATCTTACAATTTAGAAGAACAGATAGCAAAGTAGCAATATTGTCCATACTCTAAAGTCAAACCAAATGGGATATGGTATACTTAATTACTGATCCTTAAGAAAGTTGTAAGGACAAGCGGGAATAAAACTTGTTTTCAAGCGTAATATGTTTTTGTAAATAATTAAATAGAAAACAAATTCCTCAGATAATTCCTTGAAAGTTTCAAGTTCCTAATTTTGACCCTAAATAGTTTAATTACCCTTAGATATGAAGGGAATTTTGGCAACATGCCGCAGACCTATAACCTTGCGGCCGGATGGCCGAGCGGTCAAGGTGGCAGCCCACCGCTCTGGGGAACCCGGGTTCGAATCCGAACGGGTCGAAAAAACTCCAGGAATTTTTCGGAGATGTCGGGCCCCGTCCCTCACCACCCGGCAGTCCTATTGTGGGCCTGACCGAACCAATAATGGGCTTGCAAAAAGAGGCCCTCTTAGTGCACACAGGGCGGAAAGAGTTAAAAAAAAAGACTATAACTTATTTAGTTATGTAATACAGTACTTCGTAAATATTAAATTAATTATTAACTTGTTTTATTTATTTCAACACGTTAATAAACTAATAAAGTAAAACGAGCTATAATTTATTGTGACATCGACACAATGCCGGGCTGCAATTTTTTGTCATAATGCTCTCAGTTTTATAGTGGATGACACTATAAAACTTCTGTACATCATATTTTTGCTGTTAACAATAGTCATGACGGTCATCTATCTAACTCCGTTCTCGAGATTAACAAATGACAGACAGGCAAGCGGATGTCAGTAGGAATCTATAATTTGAAAATACAGTTAATATATTAATCAATAATTATTTTAATTTTCATCTATTGCATATTTATATTTAAGAAAACAAGCATTGGAACACGTTCGAGATATAGTCTGTTTCTTTTTTTGTTGCAAATTCAGAAGTATCGAGAAGTTCTGTCTGTACGTGTGGCGCAATATTGGGGGTATTCGTAGTATTCGAATTTATTTATATTCGAGATCTTGAATCTTCATACTCTTTAGTATTCGAGTGTTCACGAAGAGTATTCGCTTATCTCTAATAGAAATGGTAGTAGTAAGAAGTGATAGCTATCTTCAGTTTAAATAAACATTTTATTTGAAATATAATCATATAATCCAAGCATTAAAAAGCTTGTTATGTGAAGATAATATACTGTACTTAATTTTCTATGACATTTTCCTTATTCATTATTAGTTTTATTGTCTTTTTATCTTTAGATTAACACTTATTATTACTTGAATATTTATTAATAAGGTGGCACTAGCAATCCGAAAATACACAGAGAACACATATATTAACACAGTTTTTACTCATAAACTACAACGTAATAAAACATTTCATATTTATAAAGAAAATTTATGTAGTAAAGCAAAACTAGAAAATGACTTACATGTCTGTTATGGTGGCCATTTCATTTCTATACAGCTCTTGTTAATATTACAGACAAAATAATATTCCAAATTAAAGAACAACTCAACAGAGCCAAAGACTGTCTCTTATCAGACAAACAAATAAAGCAGGATCTATGATGTTGCAGGTTTTAGTTGATTAATAATTATATAATTAACATTAATCAACTTTTAATCAATTAAAAAATCCCCAAAATTTTAAAATCACTCTTTAATAAAAATTAAAAAGTGATTTTGAAATTTTGGAGATTTTTTAATTCAAAGAACAATATTTCTTATTCATGTCTTCTTAAGCCAATTTGTAAAGTGAACAAATGACATGGAATGATTAAGGGATTAAGGAACAAAGATAAAGTATTTGTAAAAGTAAGAATCTCTGCCTTGGTTATACTACCTTGTTTATAACTACAGTAGTAGCGATTTGATGCAACAAAGTTTTTATGCTAATGTGATAATACTCGTAGTGCATAAAAGTATTATCACGATAAATTGTTTTGCAGTCATATTGCTTCTGTGTTGTTTTGGAACTAAAATGACTTTCTTCAATCGTATCATTATAAAGCAATAGTTACTAATTACAAAATGTTATGCAATTATGTACAATGTTATGTTTAAGTAATGAAATCTCCGTTTTATTAATTAAGAAATCTTCACTCTTGCGATATTGTTGCCATTGTTTTTTCAATAAATTAGTCTATTATTATATTATTTATTCACATTTCTAAATTTATTTAGTAACTAAGAAATTTAATGAGTTAAATTGTCATTTCGACAAGAATAAAATATATGAATTAGTTATATGTTACAGGTAAAAGTGTAGGTAAAATTGATAAATAAATTATAAAATATAAATTTTATTTTATATTTTCTAACAAATAATAATTTATTTAAGTAGTTGCAGTTCTTTTAATATCAGTATAGATGCGTGACTTCAACACGTTTTATTACCTTCGGTTTCTGTTTGTATGAACCATAAGTGTTAAAATTAGTCGGAGGTGAAAACTTATTTTTATTCATGCAAAGAATTTTCTTATTTTTCTTTTTCTTGGTGAGGTATTTTATTACCTTCGATTCCAAAAATTCATATATAGTGAAAAGTGAGATACCTAACCACATTCCTGTATATCCTCCCAGATAACTGAATAATTCTATTGTCTGTAAATTATAAACTTAATGCTTAGAATTTAAATATTAATAATTAAAATCAAGAAAATTGTTACCTCATATTCGGGTGAACTACGATATGTCAATGTTTCTGGATCACGCAAAGTGATGATGAAACAAAGCAATTCTAATAATCTCTCTCTCTCATACTAATTACAGTATTTGTGTAACAAGCTTCAAACAAAAAAATAAAATACAGTAACCTCTGTTATATGACTACAGGAGTAGAAACAAAAAACCATTTAATTTTCCTGCGTAAGCTAGCTGTAATGTGTGTGTCATCATTTCCATTCAGTTCTGAAGCTACTGAATGAGAACAATGTTCTGCGAATGTTTAGTAGAAGAATTTGTCTACAGTAGTTTTCAACAGTGATCAAATTCACACAAGCATACACTTTATGATTTTCAATTTGGTATAAAAGCAGCTAAATCTTATTGCTGTATGATGCAATCATTTGGCAAGAATGTCATCTCCAAGTTTACAATCTATGATTGATTCAGTAAATTTAACCCTGACATTGCATCATCCAACTACCATCTCTTCTGCTCCATACAACAATTCTTGGATGGAAAACAATTTGCTGATGATATGAAAATTGCACTAAAAAAGCTAGTTTTCTTGTTGGGATCACCAGCTATATTCCAATTAGATAATTCTTGAAAATTCTGTAATCATGCATCTGCAGGTGTATAGGAATGCTACCAGTAATTCAATGATCCAAAACTTAGGGTTTATTTATATTTATTTAATGTATGTATATTTGTATACAGTGGTACCTCAGGATACGAACGCCCCAGCATATTAAATTTTCAGGATACGACATGAAATTTGAACATATTTTTGCTCCACGATATGAACAAAAACTCACCATACGACATTACATTAGTTTGCAGCGCCATTTTTTATTCACTTCTGTTCATTGGTCTCAGTCCACGTGTTTGCTTCGTCGTGGAAGGATCTCGCTCGATAAAGGAAATCTTGAGGTATTATCTGAAAGTGACTGATTTTATTGAAAAGAAACATCCAAAAAAGATTCACACTGGCTATATTGCTGCTCGGAGTAATGACATTTGCCTAAGTCATTTTAGAAACATTTTAAAAGTAGGCAAAGCCAAACCTCTTTGGATAGATATTTTACCAAGTGACCTCTATCCAGTGAATGTGAAAGTGCTGGTGGAAGTGAAGGAAAGAAAGCAAAAACGCAGTGAATAAAAAATTAAAAAAAAATATGAAACAGAAAAGATAAAAAAATTAGTGTTAAGTTATTTTTAAGTTATTGTTACATTATGTTATGTAAGTTTTAGTATCATTTCCCTTCTCCCTCTCTTCCACCACCAGTCTACACCTCCATCGTCGTCTATTCTCAAAGGTAAAGTGCAAATAAAACTATATTTTTTTTTAAAAATCAATTATTATTNTTACGTTTTTGATACTAAATTAACTTCTGAAGTATAATTTTTTATTGTTTTTATATTTTTCAATATATTTATTTTGTTTGTACAAAATAAAAAAATAATTTTTAATGATACAATAGTCTTCATTAGGCTTAACATTGACAAAAATTCAACGCAAAGCGACATGCAACGGAGAAAAATTTCAACATGGGATACATTAATATATTTTTTCGTACATAATCGGTTATCCGAAATATCGATTTTCCGAGCAACCCCAGTCTCCAATTGATTCAGATAAACGATGCTCTACTGTACTGCAAGTACTGAAATGATACGTAAATATCTGAAGAAATTCAAAAATTACATAAAATTTAAAAATGTCAATATAAAAATGATACTAGCTTAACAACACTTATTTCACTGAATTAATATTAAAATCACTTACTTTTCATTATTAAACTGTTTGGACATAGTCACTTCAGCTCCATCTGTTTTTATGTCAAAACCTTCAATAGTTGGAAGTTTTGATGATTTCCTAGATTTAATTTCTGCTTTGATTTCTTGTTCTAAAAACTCTGCTAATTCCTTATCTCCTGTACAAATATGTAATTATTAATCTAATGACAAGTCTTCATAACATATTTTCATATATTAACAAAGTGAAGAGGATTTAAATATCAATTCATTTCAAATATTACAGATTATAATTTTTTAATTTACAGGTAAAAAGATACTCCAGCTGAATGTAAT